TATAATATTATATATGCTATTCTCTATAGGCAAAGCTTATAATGCTTCTCAGTTTTCGATATGCTCCGATTCAAAGCTTTCAAAAGTTATGTTAACTCTTCGAAAATGATCGAGCAACTGGGAGTCTTGCTATAGGTCCGAAAGAAAAGCGACTTGGTTGGGCTAGGAAACAAATTCTTTTGGGCGATGAAAATACTGATCATACAGAGTCACTCTTAGAGAATTTTGATGGGATTAGAACTCAAGATGACCGAACTACTGAAGTATCTTGTTCCTCTAACTCAAAGAAGAGAAAGAATAAATCAGGTGATACTCTGAGTGAGGAAATAAGGTCAATTAAGGATGGTCTAGATGCAGTTGCAGCAGTACTTGATCGTGGTAACCTTCGGAACTACACAAATGGACAATTATTTGAGGAGATTAAGAAGGTTAGTGGCATGAGTGATGCTTCTCAAATGAAGGTGTATCAAGTTCTTGCTAAAAAAGTGAGTGATGCTCGAGCGTACCTAGAATGCCCTATTGAACACCGAGGTTTTTGGTTGTTTGTTAAATTCGGATCTTCAATCTTTGATGCATAGTACTATTTTTCTTTCTTTGGTACTTTTTTATTTGAATATTTCAGGGATTTGGTGAACCTATGAAAATATCATTAGGCTTAGATTTTTTGTATGTAGACTCTCTTAGTTGCTTGTTGCACTTGAATGGTAGATTCAGGGCATATATGTGTCCATGAGATTCTAAATGTTCTTTGTTGCTTAATGGCCTCTATTGCACTTCTTTATGATATTGTGGATATGAATGCTATGTACTGCTTATCAAGTTCTATTTTAATGTTTTTTTTTATGTATGTTCTGCTTTTGGATTGTAGTGGTTTCACTCTGATTTATCTGCTCTGGTTCTGTGCTTATATAGATTACACAGGGATTGAGGTCTGGTGTTCTGGTTTTGATGTGCTGCTTTGATGCACTGGTGTTGAGTCTGGTTTGGTAGAGGAGCTTGCATTGATGCACTAATGTTTTGTAGTATTATCTATTTATGTTATATGTTATGCTATCTGTTTTGGTTGGATGAGTCTGTTATGCTAGGTTTGATGTTCTGCATTGATGCATTGGTGGTGAGTTTGTTTTGGTGGATGAGTCTGTTATTCTGGTTATAATGCATTGCTGCACTATGATACATTGATGTTATGGTTTCTATATTGGTGGATGAGTCTGGTGTTCTGGTTTTGATGCTCTGCTGCTAATGCTGTCTTATGCTTTGGTTTGGTGTTTTGCGCTTATGCTCTGCTGCGGATGCTGGCTGTCTGTAGGTGGTTGTAGGTGGTTGATTTGTTTTTTCTGTTTCTTTGGTTGGTTTTGGTCCAATTTTATAGGTGTTAGCTATTCAGCTTGGTTCTTACAATCATAAAATCGATAAACTATTTGATTTGGTTTTCAAAAACTTGTTTTCAATTTTTTTTTTCTAAAATATTAATTAGGTGAAGGAAATAAAAAAATACTTATCATTTTTATACAATTTTATTTTTCGGGAGGCTATAAATAATCTTTAAAAATAAAAAAAAATGATTTTTTATTTTTATCAAATTAATTTTTTATTTTTAAAAATTAAAACTTTTTCTTTTTCTAAAAAACAAACAACACTTTGATCATGTGAAGCCTTATTTTTTTGTTTTTGCAATTCATGATTACAATTCTGTGTATGATGAAGGACAATGAGAGAGTTCTTGAGAAATGATTTCTTTTCCTCCTCCGATTCCCAACGCAACCAAACATAGTTGGGATTCGGTATCCTATGAATTCTTCCTCCTTTTCCTTTCATTTTCATTTCCCTTCCTAAATCCCTCAATCAAACACAGCATTAAGGTATGGGATTCATGCAAATTTACATGTGTAGATTTCGCACCCATATAAAAGATTTAGTAAAAAAATTAAAAAATCATTTGGGATTTATTTCGCAACATCACTTTTTAGCTTAAAAGTAAAGAAGTTACAAAAAAAAAACTAATAAGTCAGCAACATAGACAAAAAAAGTCCAAGATTATCTTTTTTTACTATTTTTTGCACATCTTTTCGTAAAAAATTAAAAAATCATTCCAAACATACTAATTTTTTTACATCATATTTTAGTCAAAAAATTAAAAAATTACTAAAAAAGCATGCTCTCAAACTAGGACTTAGGATAACTCAAAAATTATTGGTTGGTCAAAAAATGTTACATGGCCATATCCCTCGCCAATCACAATTCACTAGGTTGTTTTTTAATCACCCTACACAAATGAATATAATTATATGTATCAATTGGTATGCTAATTAGTGTACTAACGGATTATGTGTCATAATTTTAGAAATTTTGGGTCTTATAATTTGTATAATGGGTGGAGTATATAGTTTTGAAATGACAATATCATAACCTAGGTTGGTACATTAATTAGTACATATAATACCACTCAACATTAATTCGTAAATTTCATATTCTCCACCAATCACAATATCATTAAGACACCACGTGACGAAGCTCAAGACCAACCACTAATTGCACCACGCCACCACTCAACAAGTATGAAATTTTAGCATCTATGCCCTTGTTTGTCAGGGTAAAAAATAAAATAAAATAAAATAGTTAATTAAATAAAATATTTCATTTTACATATTAATTAATCATTACATTCCCCGAATTTGGTGTCATATAAATATTTGAATTTGTTCATGCCGATCTTCTGGATAAAAAGGTGACGATCGCGGTAGACGAGAGTGACAACCACGGTAAAAGAGGGTGAAGTCGGTCGTTCGAGAAGTCCTCTGACTGGCACAAATTCAGCTGACTCGGACAGTAGTAAATTCAATGAATAAATCATTTTACATTGTTTATAGTTAAATAGATAGTTATGAAAAGGGAAGGGGGGAAAAAGTGATTAATTGATATTTAGAATGTGACATTTATTTTAGCAAAAACCAAAAACTATTTCCAAACATGGCGATAATTGTACTAGTTGATTGTGGTTTGGATTTAAATTGGGAGCAAAAAGTGTGCATTGTTTGATTTCATGTACTTGGTAAAATTGAGTTATTTGACAATACCTTCTTCTTTTTTATAGTACACCTTCTTATTTTATTTTTGTTTAAAATGTGGTAACTATATAAATTTCAATATGTTTAATTAGTCAATTAAGTATTTGGCTATTATACATTTACATAGTTTTCAATTTATGTTTCCAAACATTTTTATGTAATTTTCAATTTCTTTTTTCTTGTTTTGGAAATTTTTCCATTTCCTTGCTAATCGCAAGGACCGATCGAAATGAAAGTATTTGCCATTGTTTGTCAATGTCAAGTTATCTATACAATATGCAATGTTCCAAACCAATTGTTAAATGTGGTAAATTGAAATTTGTAATGAATAATGAGATGAAGAGAGAGATAGATAGGAGGCAGTTGCCAATTCAAAGAGAGAACTTTGTATTATACAGTAATGCCTTTCCTTTGGAGACCCATGGTTTATGAAAAAGTTAAAAAGGTATTGAAATTGTAAAAGGTAAACATTTATCACAACATAATATTTAGATATGAATTTATCATATCTGCGTTGTTTCCTTCCTAGAAAGAGCAAACAAATTCAAGAGTTTCCATGGCAGTTGGTTCTTTGAGTCTGTTTTCATGACACTTATGCTGTGTTTGGTTGAGAGATTTGAGGAGGGATTTGGAAAGGAAAATGGAAAATGTAGGTGAAAGGTAAATAAAACATACTTATATTTCACCTAGTTTCACATACATTTTCTCTTTTTCTTTCTAAATCTCTCCCCAAATCCTCCAACCAAACACAGCGTTAAGGCTGAGTCAGTTTGGAAAGGGGATCCAAGTTTAAGGAGAAAAATCAGTTTGCTACCATTCTCTTCCACAAACCAGACTCCCTATGGACCTTCTACGAGGATATCTGGAAACATGCTACTTAATAAAAGATCAGGATTTGGGACAAAGGAGTAAATAAACTTGTCTCGTTCCTTGCTTCCCCTTCTTCATGTGTGATTGGCTTCGTCGCAACCTATTCTGTGATGGAGAGATCAAAAGCATTAGGGTCACCCTCTGTGGCGCCAGTGGTGATTAGATCAACGGGTATTTTCTCAAGAAAAACTTCTATTGAGGCTCACTATGAATCTTTGGATATGAAACATACCTAAAAAAGTTCATTCATTGTAAATTCAATGAAATGTAGGGTATTTTAGTCATTACACTAGTGAATTTTACCTCTTTTTAATTTTTTATAATGGAATAAAATAAGTAAAATATATTTTGATTTTTGGTTGGTTAGAAAAACAAGGCAAAAGGTTGAAAGAGAGGTCAGATTTATGGAATTTAAGGGTATATACATTGAGGCTTTAAAAAATTTAGCCTATAGCATCATTTATAGACAACAATGCAATATACTTTTTGATTGTTCACGTTTGACTCGTATTCTAATTTAATCCCTATTTCACTTTGAATACATTAAAAACTTACATTTTATATTCTATTTTATTTTAATAATTGTGCTACCTCCATTCATTTAATAAAAGCCTAGCACTTGATATGACATCAAAATAAAAGGGAAATGATGATCAACAAGGTTAGCCGACAAGATGAGGAAGAGTGAAGCGGTGGCGGAAGTGGTAAGAAAATAGTGGAGAAGGGTCTGGTGATTTCAAAAAGAAATAAAAACAATAAAAAAAATCACACTAAATTGAGAATAGTTTTTTCATTCTATTTTTCAAAAAATAAAAATAAAAATCTAGGCAAGTTGAAAACTTGAATTGGGCCTTAATTTGTGGGCCTCCATCAGTACCCAAGCAGCTAAGCCCATCCATGTCCAATATTCACTCAAACCCTAGGTCACGCAAAGCGATTGAAAACGAAAACTAGCCGTTACGAGAAAAGCATGTAACGTTCAAAAAAAGTTTCTATGCATTCCCAGGACAAAGCCCTTTTAACGTTCTTTTAAATCAAACCCTCTCACACACAATACCCTCCCCACTTCTCTCTCTCTCTCTACGATTTCTTATCTGAAGAGGAAGAAGAGATCCAATTCTTGTTTCCCTCTCTTCTTCTCTCTGGACTGAATTCAAGATCTCTTAGCTTCAAATTCAAGATCTTTTTAGCATCATTGTTTGAATCTTCAAGGAGGGTAACAAAGAAGACGATGACTACAATCAATAACAACCACCAAGACACCAACACCCCGGTGACCGCTCCGGTGATCACATCGTCCAAGCAGCCCCTCCCCACGACGAAGAGCGCCGATACTCAGTCTGTTCTCAAGAGGTATATATATAATTTGATCCTCTGTATGAGTTGAAAGTTTTGTTTTTTGATTTGGGTTTTGTGTTAAACTAGCTCCTCTTTTGTTTTATATCACTTGATTGGGCTTTGTGTTGAATTGGCCTCTCTTTTGTTCTTTATCTTGATTAGTCTTGGAATATGTTTGATTCTTTGACTTTTCTGTGGTTCAAAATGTTTCTTGAGTAAAGTCTTTTGTGTTTCTGGTTTTATGAAAAAAATGTTGCAGTTAATGCTTTGGAGATTATTTAACTTAATTGAATACATAAAACAAGCACAAAATGGAAGACATAATGCATATGAATAAATGAAATTTTAGAATATTTGAATAAGTTAGTAGTTCTCACATTTGAAAAATCTTATCTATTGATATACATTTTGTGTCCGGTTTTATAATCCATTTAGTGCTCTAAACTTATTCTTTTGTATATGTTCCCATCAAACAAATTGCATTCTATATATGCTTATATATGCTTTAGCTTGTTACCCATTTCCCCCCTAATTAATTTGTGATTTCTAGGGTTCTGAACATCTCTCGTGTTTTGTGGTTTTTTTTTTTCTCTCACAAAACAGGTTGCAATCAGAACTAATGGCTCTAATGGTAAGAACTACAAACTATGTTTGTGTGAAATTCTTTTGAGCATTGACCCAATAGTCAAAACTCTCTCTAATAAATATATTCTCTCTTTTTTGTCCAAATGTAAAGATGAGTGGTGATTCTGGGATATCTGCATTCCCTGAGGAAGAGAACATATTCTGCTGGAAAGGTACAATAACTGGAAGCAAAGACACCGTATTCGAAGGAACAGAGTACAAGCTCTCCCTCTCCTTTCCAAACGATTACCCGTTTAAGCCTCCAAAGGTCAAATTCGAAACTGCCTGCTTCCATCCCAATGTTGATGTCTATGGGAACATATGCCTAGACATTCTTCAGGTTATAGTAGTATCAAAACAATCTTCGTATACTTTAGATTTGATTTGGCCATGTTTTTGTATGTAATTTGATAAAAATTCTTTACAATTTATGCTCGTGCTTATAGGATAAATGGTCATCCGCTTACGAATAAATATATTCTCTCTTTTTTGTCCAAATGTAAAGATGAGTGGTGATTCTGGGATATCTGCATTCCCTGAGGAAGAGAACATATTCTGCTGGAAAGGTACAATAACTGGAAGCAAAGACACCGTATTCGAAGGAACAGAGTACAAGCTCTCCCTCTCCTTTCCAAACGATTACCCGTTTAAGCCTCCAAAGGTCAAATTCGAAACTGCCTGCTTCCATCCCAATGTCGATGTCTATGGGAACATATGCCTAGACATTCTTCAGGTGATTATATATATAGTAGTATCAAAACAATCTTCGTATACTTTAGATTTGATTTAGCCATGTTTTTGTGTGTACTTTGATAAAAAATTCTTTACAATTTATGCTTGTGCTTGTAGGATAAATGGTCATCCGCTTACGATGTGAGGACCATACTGCTTTCCATCCAGAGTCTGCTCGGAGGTAGGTCATATTCGTGTGTTATCTGTAATTTTCATTTTTTATAAAAAAAAATAGTAGAATTAAAGAAAACCCATTGAGTGTATTGTTTTTCTGATTTTTTTCCCTATATATATACATATATATATTTTTTTTATAGAACCAAACACAAGCTCACCTCTAAACACTCAAGCGGCATCGCTTTGGAGCAACCAAGAAGGTACAAGAGATTTTTGTTATCTGTGTTTAGTGTTTTTTTTATTTTTATTTCTTTTCCTGCCAATTTTCTTTCGCCTTTCAATTGAATTTTACAATCATGAATGTCGACTGAAAACCATGTTTTATCGTCTCTTGCAGAATATAGGAAGATGGTGGAGAAGTTATACAAGCCCATTACTGCTACTGCCTAGCTCTGGAGATATGAAAAGGTGTTTGGCAGTTAGTGTTGTTTCAAAATGTTTCATTCATTCTTTTTCTCTCAATTTTCTACAGTTGGGTTGTCACAGAAAACTGAGAAACGAGAATTTCATGAATATTTTTGGTTAAAATTTATGGTGTGCTAATGACTTTTTGTTTACTCCGCTCCGCGTGTTGTATTTTTATCAACCAATTGTGTCTAGATTTACTACAGTTGTGCGTGTAATGACGCGTCTGAAGTTAATGGCATTTCACTTGTTAAATTATTGGTTCACAATTTTGCACGTTATATTTCAACCTCGAAATGTCATCAAAATCTTGAATCCACAAACGATTAGACAATGAATTTTCATCAGAATCTTGAATCTACAACCAGTTAGATATAACATAGGAAAACTACAAAGCAACTCTCCCTATATATCCAAACTCAAAATAGTGGAAGAAGCTATGGTTTCGATGAAGTGAGCTGCCTTAGATTGTATTTTGCCAATCCCCAAAATGAAAAATAAAATTAAAAATTATGCATGTATGATGATTGTTGAGATCATATGGAAAGAGCACCATCACTGGATTGTTGAGATCAGCCTTGTGGTGCAGCAACAGAATTTGCAACTACGTTGATGATTTTCATTGTGTCTACAACCAGCATTTGCTCGGGCAAAAAATCTGCCTCTTCCATTTTCTTTTTCTCTTCAATGCAACAAATTAACTCAAATAAGTGAATAGTGTTAATTCCATCAGCAAAGTTATGGCACACGACTTTTATGTGGGTGTTTGGGAAATGACTATTTTTTAGGCTTTTTGACTTTTTTAGTTGGATATTTTAGTTTTTGTGTTTGGAAAGATGGGATGAATTTTTATTTGAATTGTTATGTTGAAAAATGTGTTTGAAATTATGGTAAAATGTAAATTGACCAAACTGTAACTGCCCATACAAAAATTAATAACTACACATGGCATATTTTAGTTTTTGTGTTTGGGAAGATGAGATGAATTTTTATGTGAATTGTTATGTTGAAAAATGTGTTTGAAATTATGGTAAAATGTAAATTGACCAAACTGCCCATACAAAAATTAATAAAATACACAAGGCAGATTTCCACGTGGCAGTGAGAACACTGCCACCGTCTGTGAAAGAATACCATCAATAGGTGCAAAAAAAAAAAAAGTAAGGTGTAGATCAGTGAAAGAAAAAAAAAATACCATCAATACCAGCCAAAATACCACCTTGTTTGTGTGTACTGGAACGACTGCCACTTCCTTTTAGAACAGCACTAACTTACCGCTCTCTACTATAAGAAAAGAATAATACTAAGGAATATGAAAAAAATATCATGAAAGATTTTTCATCCTTTGATTAGTGTATGGTGTTTTCTAACGGTGGAGTTTCATGATCATAAGAAAATCCAAGAAAGAAAATAGATCCATAATAAAAAAAACTGCCATGAATTACACACACGCAAGTAGTGGCTCGCCAAAGCCTATGCACTATCGAAGAATGGACTTGATAGAATCAATTGATTGCATAAAGAAAAACATAAAGCAAAAAAAAAAAGAGTCAAGTAGACTCAGAAAGAAAAGAGATTGTGAAACCCTCTCCCCCTTTTCTATGATTAGAATAATGAAGAAGGGAGAGGTCTTTAAAAAAACCTATACTCCCACTTCCCTTTATTTGAGATTTCCAAAAGGTGAGATTTCGGAACAAAAATGGGGAAAACCGCATCTATTCAAAGGCAATGTTTCAGCCTGCAGGAGAGGCATCTTACTTTCTTACTGACTGAATCACTTGAATCAGTTGAAGGAGGTTTCTACAGGAAGAGTGCAATCTGAAACAGTGGGTTGAAAACCAACAAGAGCAAGTTGGAAAACGAAGAAGAAGCACAGAAATCGGGTCAGTCAGTTGGTGGGTCTTTACGCAACACTTCTGTCAGAGTGAAAGCTGGCGGAAAGAGGTACCTCACTATTCTCTCAAACCCTCCGTTCATACCCAAAGTACAGATGATAAAGATGATGAGAGAGATGAAATCCTCGAAATCAGTTGTCACTTTTTGGTTTTTGGATATGAGCAAGAAAGGGTAAAAAGACTTTTTACCCAGTTAATGACATCCAACTGGATTGAACCTCTCTACCCAGGCTACATGGCTTTTTACCCAGGCTACATGGCTTTTTTTTTATTTTTTATTTGAGGCTAAAATAGCTTGCCCAACCTGTTGCCAAACACTGCCAATATGGGTGTTTGGAAATGGCTATTTTAGGAGGTTTTTTGACTATTTTAGGAGGCTATTTTAGCTTTTGTGTTTGGAAAAATGGGATAGATTTTTATTCGAGTTGTTGTATTAAAAAATGTGCTTGAAATGATGGTACAATGCAAATTGACCAAACTGCCCACACAAAAATTAATAAATACACAAGGCAGATTTCCACGTGGTAGTGAGGGCACTGCCACCGTCTATCATGTATTGACTTGGGGAAAAAAGTTCGGTGAAAGAAAAAAAAATACCATCAATAGGTGCAAAAAAAAAAAAAAAGTTCATAGGTGTAGATCGGTGAAAGAAAAAAAAAATACCATCAATACCAACCAAATCACAGTGCGATCTGAAACAGTGAGTTAAAAACTGTTAGCTTTTAATAAAACTCTCTTTAGAATGAACTATATTTTGTATTGAATTTTTATCACTTATTGATTTATCTATGTTGCCCATAGGCTTACATCCTTTTATATAGAGAAGGTTATACATAAGTTCAATGAATAAGATCCATGAACCTAAACAACCTTGTAATTAATTAGGTACATGAATATAATCTAGACAATGTACTTAATAAATATAAAATACATGAATATAAAAATACATGAATACAAAGAATGTATGAACTCAATGTATTCAATGCATGCAATGTATCCAATGTATCTAATGTAAATATGGCATTAATTTTAACAAAAACCAGCAAGAGCAAGTTGGAAAACGAAGAAGAAGCACAGAAATCGAGTTAGTATACCCTACCGGTTGCAAGTCTTCGACGATCGGCAAGCAAGACAATTAACTGGTGGGTCTTTACGCAACAGTTCCGCCGAAATGAGAGCCACCAAGGAGAGGTACCTCACTCTTCTCTCAAACCCTCCGTTCACACCCAAAATACAGATAATAGAGATGAAAGAGATGAAAATCCCGAAATCAGTTGTCACTTTTTGGTTTTTGGATATAAGCAAGAAAGGGTAAAAAGACTTTTACCCAATTAATGACATCCAGCTGGACTGAACCTCTCTACCCAAGCTACATGGCTTTTTACCCAGGCTACATGGCTTTTTTTTTATTTGAGGCTAAAACAGCCTGCCCAACCCGTTGCCGAACATCGTCTATATCAGCTTGTAAAAAATAGCCCGAAATCCAGATCATATAGCCATTGTTTTTGGTTAGTAAAGTAAATTCACAAACACAAACCCAGCTCTGGATTTTGGATAATGGCCTCATCTGGCAACCCAAGTCAAAAAACAATACTTTGGTCCATATGAAAAAAGTATAGCTCATTTGAGACTAGGAATTAGGGCTGCACACGGGTCGGTTCGAATCGGGTTGACCTATCAACCAGTAACCGATCGAACATATTCGGGTTGGGAGAATTAATATATGATTTCGACCGGGTAATGGTTCGAAACCATTCGTTCATAGGAATTAGGTTAACAGTCAGATTCGGTTGGTTTCACGGGTTGGGCTGTGACAATAAAATTAGTTGGGCCAAATCATAACTGGGCCTTCACCATTAGTAATTTTATTATGAAAATAGACATTTTTCATGATTTTTAATTTATTACCAAGTTGAAATATTAGTAATTGTAAAAATAGACAATTCCACAATTGAAAGTATAATTAGCAAAAAAATATTAAATTTATAATTTTACAATTCTAAAAAACTATCATGATAAAAAGAATTAGTAATTTTGTTATGAAAATAGACATTTTTCATGATTTTTAATTTATTACCAAGTTGAAATATTAGTAATTGTAAAACAAAAATGCTTCCTACCCCCACTGGGGGTCGACCCCCAGTGAGGTGTTACTGTGGGATTGGCTCAAAAAAAAAAATTATTATTATTTTTTTTTTTTTTGAGTTTTCAACCAGTGGGGGCGCGCCACATCACTGGGGGCGCGACCCCCACTAGGGGTATGCAGCGCGGTTGATTGTAAAAATAGACAATTCTACAATTGAAAGTATAATTAGCAAAAAAATATTAAATTTATAATTTTACAATTCTAAAAAACTATCATGATAAAACGAATTATTTGTTAACCAAACAAACAATAAATTCGAAACACACAATAATATCAATTAAAAATAATTAATTGACAAATTTCATACACCACTTGCAACCTATTTTAAACCCAATTATATCAGGAAGAAAAACTCAAACACACAATAATATCAATTAAAAATAATTAACTAACAAATTTCATACACCACTTGTTACTTGTTTTAAACCCAATTATATCAAGAAGAAAAACTTTAGTTTCAAACCATAGCTAAATTAAATCTAGTGTTTTTGTTGAAACAAAATTTAAAAATACAAAATCCATGTAGGGTTTTAGTTATTCAAGAAAAAATTAACCATAAACACAATATTGATCAAGGGTTGCAATTAATCAAAATATAATAAAAAAATAAATAAGTAAACTCATACCTAGGGCTTTGGTTAGTTATAAGAGAGCACCACCACCAACATGAGAGCCTCTGATTTGAAGGATAGATGAAACACCTCACATGACACAGTATCAAAGAGAGATGAAAGTTGTTGAGAGAGAGAGAGATTGGAAAGAGATGGATCTGGGAAGTTGATAATGGATAAATCATAACTGTGAAAAGATATATAATGAAAGAAAAATGTGGGTTTACATTACACAGAGGGAGAAATATGGAGAAGAGAGAAATATGGGAAAAAGGAGAGGAGATAATAGGGGAAGGCTCTGCATTATCTGTGTCTGTGTGTAATAGGTCTATTCAACTTTGCTTTGAAAGTTGAAATATCATCAATCATCATAGAAAGCTTCTTGTGGAAGCTTTGCACATCTCTCAAGAATAATACAATTACACAAATATATATTAAAAACGTACGAGCTGCTTGTGTTATGAATTTCGGTTGGGTCGGTTTTGACCGCAATAACTTACATAAAATCACTATTGGCCGCGAAACTCAGCCAAACTAAACTACAACCGTCCGGTTAAATATTTGAAACCGTCCGTTTTCATTTGGTTCGGGTCGGTCTAACGCTGGTGGGCTCGGGTTCGGATTTTTCATGACCACCACTACTAGGAATTTTAACATTAATCAAGGGAATCACCATCATCCACAACTGGAAAAGAGACTTCTAGGTAGAGGCAAAATCTTTTACAAATTTTTTACTATGGCAGCAATAGTGGCAAAATGCAATTTCACCCATTCTTTTACAATGGGGGTACAAAGTTGCCGAATGGTACCTTGTGTGCAGTTTGAGTTTCCACAGGGAAAGTATTGTGCAATGAGTAGTTTGATTGCTTTTGAAATTTCATCCTCTGAAAGCATAGCATGTTCACTTCGACCAGTAACACTCTTTAACATGAACCTGATTAAAACCCAATCCTAGGATGGTGAGAACTCTCAATCACAATATCCTTGGATGTTGGGTCTCCATATATCTTGCGCATTTGAACAAAGACAACACTGTTGCATACTGAATCGAGGTTGTTAAACATCTCTGTTTCAGCAGACAACAATTTGTTACAAAAACTAGAGACAGATTCATGGCATACCAGGACAAGAATATGTCAGCAGCAGAATAGGAAGTTCATATATGAAACAGAATTACCTTTTCTTATCTTTTTTACAAAAATAAATTCTTGTCAGTTGAAGTATATTATGCAACACATCCGCAACTTAGAGCCAAAAAAAACAAAACAAAACAAAAACTAACAATATCATAATACAACATTTGAAAAAATGAATTATGATATGAAATAAGCCAAGGAAATTTTGTTAACAAGAGCAACCTTTTAATACATGAACCATTTACACAACCTTTCCTTTCTTATATATATAGCTAATAATAGAAAATATTGAAACGAATTCTATAATTTACAGGAGCTATATTTATATATAATCGTATTGTATCTATAGCAACTGTACGGTATCCACATTGGAAGACGAATACAATGCGGCCAGGAGTGCTGATCCAATGCCTGGTCCATCTTTCGTGATCCTAAGAATGACATGTGCGGAGACATCTTCGCCCAAGATTTCGGTCATGGCTTCATTCAAGTATTCTCTGAACATCAAATAACCGGTATACAAACCTCCCTCAATCGCCACAACTGTTCTTCTGATCTTACTATGACTTCCACTTTTGATTCTTCCACTTGTAATGCCACCACTCCCATCTCGACCAATCTTCTTCAAGATGCCAACAATTCCGGAAGCTGCCAATCGGGCTGCCCTGCGAGTCACCACATCACATACCTTCACAACAAGCTTCCGAACTTTTAGAGGGACACCGGGAATCTGAAGTTGAATGGAGTGGGGGGAAATGAAGAAAAAAAAAAACATAGAACATAAGAATTGCGAGTAATACAATACTTTGGGTTATAAGTGGGTGGAAAGTGATTTGCAAAGAATGATGTGTCGATTGCAGTATTGAAATAACTAGTCACTTTCATAAGTCTTTTGATTTGAAAAGTAGGTGATGCAAACCGATCTACCTCTAGGACATCATTTAAAATTCTGACTACTTCCTTCAAATCGGGGGAATCATCCTCATGCATAGCAGCCATATGTTCTGTACTGAAATTATTGAGGGGCCAGTGACATAAAGTTAGTATTAGAGATGAAACCAGAAAGTAACAACTCAAGACATAATACATCACAGAAAATCCACAGCTAGTTTTAAATACACATGCCCTGTGGCCAATGTTTGCATTTGGATTAAAATGAAAACCCAATTGACTAGGGGTTTGGATTTTTGACTGAAAAGGGTAACCTTTACAACTGAAGACCCATATGTTGCATGTACAATGTAAGAGGTGACAAAAGCCCAATTTCCCCAAGAAAACCCATGAAAGCACAATATCAATCACACAGGATGTTAGATTTCTTAAGGGCAGTATTGTTGCCCTATTGCCAGGGCAGTTCTGGGTTTAGCTACAGTAATTTTTCTGTGAAGACAAAACTATGGGCTTCTATGATTTATCAGGACCCTTGACTGGGGGAAAATTTTGTCAATTCACCAAAAATGACCAAGCAATAGAGAAACCGCTATTATTTAATGTCGAGTAGGATGAACTATTTACATCTAACATCAATATTCACACTAAAATAGCAGGGCATTATTAAGTTCATGCACAACAAACAGTGAGCCTGCCCATGCACCAGCTCTCATTCCAATTTGCAAATCCAGTTTATATTTTTCCTTTTTCTTTTATTTTTTATTATTTTTTTTAAATTTAAAAAAAGGAGTGAAAAAAATGTCGAGGAGTCCAAAAATCTTGTGTTCGGATCATGATCCAATCATAGTTATCAGAATTCCTGTCCGGATTGAAAAATTTTACGATTCTACGATTTTAAACGATCCAGATCACACTAGGATCTTAAATTTAGTAGGATCTTAAAGTTACTACAATCCTATTCATAAATCGTGTAGAATCGCATACGATCCCAATTCTACTCCGATCCTGATTCTAACAATTTTTTTTTTTTGTTATTATTTGTTTCTTATATATATATATATGTATATGTGTATTTCTATATAAAAAATTTGACTATAAACACTTTTTTCAAACATCTCTTCTAATTGATGTTAACATAAAAGATGCATTATATCAAATTTATCATTTTTCTTTAATCTTTTTTAAATTACGTGACATATATTATCATTATTGATAATTTTTTATTTTGTTTTACATTAAAAGTAGAATCTTACGATTTTCGATCTAATTCTACAATTTGATCCACGAGTCCCTTCCAACGAGCCCATGTAAGATCCCGATTTTAACAACCTTGGATCCAATCATAGTCACTTCACTTTTATTTCTTCAAATTTTCTACATTTACAGCTCTTTTAATCAAATTAGGCCACTCAACAACCACCCAGTAACATGGTGATAAACACAAGTATTCATTGCTTCAGAAACATCATTACACTCGCAGAATTTTGTTGGGAAGGAGACAGAAACCTTCACCCATAGGTATTAAGAAAATGTAAACTTACTCACCCCTAAAATATTTAGGGGTCATTTTATCCAATGTCCAAAAATTAAAATGGAAAAGCACCATTGGCTAGCTTAGAAAAAGCTAGCTTGTTTTGGCTAAAATAGGCTAAATAAGGCATATAAATTTAATGCAATAACTTGTGCTAAACACCTCCACCAGCTTTTTTAAAGCTATAATCCTAATAATTGAATTTAAAAGTTTGCCACTCAACTGGTTATACTTGTAACTTAAATTCAAATGAAAAAGATTTGAAAATCATTAGTTTCCTTCGGCAATCTATTTTACATATTTGTGTCACCACATAAATTGCTGAATTAGAATGCCATGAACCAAGCATCATTGATCAACTTAACTTAGATGCCGAATACATTTTTCATTCCGTCTACCAAAGAATTGTAAATGTTTCTGACTACATACACTTTTCCTTTGTATCCATGTAACTCAAAACATTTCCCTTATATGTTCCCTTTTTGAACCAGAGTTCCTTACAAATCACTACTGGACCATAGTCACACTTCCCATAAATCATTAGCAGTGTTTTTTCCCAAATGTCATAATTTTTTGCACATTGGTCAAAATATCTTCTATAAAATATTCAAAGGCTTTCAATCTATGAAAAGAAAGTTATACAGCCTGGTAATGCTACAGCAAAAACCAATCAAAGAAGATGGCTCATGAAACTGACAGAAGTATGAGTGAGAAAACATAATTTGGCAGTTAGAAGCCTAGAAATTATAAGACAATTGACCACTATGAAGAGGGAAAAAAAAATAACTGGAAGTTTAGAAGCCAATTATGGAGAGGAAAAGAAAAGAAAAATCAATTATGGAATTGTGTGAGGGTGTCTTTTACATGTGAGTACGAGATTGAATGTCATATGCCTTTAAAACAGCTACAGAGGATAAGTAGATGAGAACAAAAAAAATAAAAAATAAAATATTGAAGTAGCAGAGTACATTGAATTACAGAAATTGTGGAAGGATTTGATATTTTGCATGCCTGAGAAAGAATGGGAGAGATTTAAAAGGGAAATGGGAACATACCTTAAAATAGAAGGCACTGATAGTTTAGAAGCTACAGGTCCAAAAATATCAGACTCCTGTGACATCCTGAGAAGCACTCTTCTTACAATGTCACCCAGATACATAGCTGATATCATTTTCTCAAAACCCTGCAGCAAGATCATCATGGTTGTGTTATTCACAAGATTATTGGAGCAAAGCAGAGGAAAGGGGACCAATTTAACAGTGACTGAACCTTACTTGATCATTTGGGTTCAGGCTATCGGCATCTAAATCAGTATCGTAAGATGTTCTTGGCAGATGAGATGACCAGAAATTTCCCCATTCCATGTTAACTACCTAATTAATAAAATATAAGATCATAAGTAAAATTAGCTATCGTTTCCCCCAAATTTAGCCACATACGATATTTCAGTGGAGAACCCAAGAAAGGATACCATGCCTCCTGAAGTAGTAAGCAAGCCTTGACATTTAATAATAGCATCTGCCCGCTCCAAATAGCAGGCATTTGTACCAGTCCCAATTATCACTGCAGCAACTGTGTCTTCGTCATCATAATGTCCAAGTGCTAATGTTCCCACAGTATCATTTACCTGCTTACAAAAGAGCGAATTAGACCAATAAATTCTTTGTACATTAGCCATATGTGTAGTTACTACATTTATAATTAAAGACAAGTAACAAACACATAAAATAAATATTAGAATTTACCATAACCCACTCCACCTACCACCTCCACTACCACACACACTCACCTACTTCACCTACTTTCCTACACCTACCACACACACTCACCTACTCCCAAATCCTCTCCTATATAATAGGAAGCCTTGTAATATCAACAGTACAACAATCAGATATCAATATCAATCAATAATACATAAATATTTTTTGCAATAAACATGTTTAAACATTTATGCATGAATATGTCTATATTACTAACTATTGGGGCGTTGCGAGAACCAATTTGTGCACAATTTCAGACTAGATGAACTTGCACTTGACGAGTTAAGGACAAGACGACTGAAACAGAATCAAAAGAAAGAAACAAAAACTGACTAGGCTAATTTAAATTACAATTCACAAGTAATAGGAATGAGCTGAAGCTCGTCTCGTTAGCACTCTAAATACAATATTGTTACAACAGAAAGAAAAAAAAAATGATGCAATACTAGATAGGGATGGCAATATGAAACCGGCCCGACGGTGACCCGACCCCCCGACCCCGAATTCAGCGGTTATTCACCGAAAAATATCCCCTACGGGCCGGAGACGGTATTCAAAAATTCATTCCCGATGATATCCGAGCCAGGGACGGGGATATGTGTTTCAGAACCGGACCCGCCCCGCCCCGCCCCGGCCCGCATGGTCCCCGAGGTAAAATGACCCTTTTGTCCCTGGATATATATATGCATATGCTTGTCTTTGTTAGGGTTTCACAGACACACACACTCAAAGCCTCTCTCACACACGCCGCTCCTCTCTCTCTCTCTCTCTCTCTCTCTCTCACTACTGGTCTATCCCTCTCTCTTCCCTCCGTCACCGCCGCACCTCCCTCCGTCACCGACGATCCTCCCTCCGTCACCACCGTGCCTCCCATCTCTGTTTAGGTATCTCTCTCTCTCTCTCTCTCTCTCTCTCTCTAGGGATTTCGATCTAGGTTTACATATATGTATATTATATATATATATATATATATCTGAGTGTTTGAAATTTAGGCAAAATCGTACTCAGCTAGTAAGCTTTAGATTAACAAACGAAAGAGAAATAATTGAGGCTTAAACCATCTCCAACCCTAGTATTAGATTTGTCATCAAATTTAAATTTGATGAAACACGCTACTTTTTGGGCTCCAATCGTGGCATCAAACCCGTATCAAATGAGAGGAAAACTAAAAATTTCATTAAATTAAGGGAGCGTTTAACCTTTTATCAAATCTCAATAGTGATCGTTGGTGGATGATCGGATGGATGACTGGCCGATCAACTGAGTGGACAACTGACCGAACTTGACCAGTTGGGCAATCGGGTGGACGACCGAATTGAAAAATTTTTGAAGAAAATTTACATTAGGCCAAACTACCACTGCCCCGATTGACTGGTTGTTTGATGAAAATTAAAAATTTATATATATATATATATATATATATGTGTGTGTGTGTATTTTTGTTGTTTTTTTCTTCTTTTTTAGCAAGTGGGATTATGGGTATATGTTTGTGATATTTTTAGTTAAAAAGAATGGACTCTCCTACTGTAGAGCCCTATTGAGTACATGAGTTTATTATGTTGTGTTTGGATCTTCAATTTAAGTAAAAATTTATGAAGGAAAATTCTTAGACTTGTGTACGGATTTTAATAGATTATCTTATAATAAAATTATACAAGTAGATTATTCATAAAAGAAAAAGAAAATTGATTTGATTTAATGATTTTATCAAATTTTTTTTATAGAAAAAATAGATGACTAATAAATCATCTATTTCTTTTAAAGGTAAATATGATGAAATCGTGTAACTATTATTATTAAATTAATATTTTTTTTTTCATAAAAAATCGATCCAATTCAGATATGGGACCCGAATCAGCACCCTTCAATTTTAGCCATGTATGTGAAAATCTGTTTCTGCCTTCTATGATGAATATTATATATACTCTGTCTATTGTGATCATCACACCTTTGTGCTTTCTTTTGAATTGCTTTTATTTATGTTATAAGATAAATTGTATGTGTTTTAGAACATATTGGAAGAATATTTTGAATTATTGCTTACAAAAGTCAGTCAAGATAAGTATTCAAAGTGTAGAAAGTCTATGGACCTAAAAACCCAGAGACCAGAAATTGAAAAGTGGTGTGTGGCTGAACCTGAGATCTGTTCATTTCATCTCCTTAAGAGCTTGGAACTGAATACTCTGCAATAGCCCCCCCAAAAAAGACAAAAGGTCTACACACCCATAATTTTACTCAGAAATAGCAATCTATGGTTCAAATTCGTTTCATACATGCACTCCACACTATAACAATTTAATCTCCACCATATTTGGAACCAGAAGATCAAAATTCATGGCAAGACTCCAACTTTCAACACCATTTAACCTTCAACACCATTTGACTAGCTCTATCTGTAATCTACTTATCAGAATAATCAATCAATTAGTAATATTTGCATATGGTCTCTACAATAGTTCAGTTTTTTTGTTTGTTTATTTATTTATTTATTTTTTGAGACATTGCTTATGATTAAATTTGAACCAGAATTGCCATCAAGCAGAGGAGAGGACCTGCAATCTAAGTGCTTGCTTGAACTCTACGGACTGGAGGTATTTTGATTCTATTGCTTCCTTGCATGTGGAGCTTATATTGATCAGACACAGTTTGACAGTGATTATTTGAACTAATGGAAGATATAATTTGGTTGCATTTTGTTAAAATGATTATTGCCACAAATCATGTTTTGCTGCATTAGTGATAATCAATGTTCACAGACAGAACCTGTTTGCTTTCCCTTTTGTAACTGATGACAAGGATCTGGCCTTTTCATTTTAAAAATTACTTCATCAAGAATATTTAAAAATATGCATGTGAAAGAAAAATGTATCCTAAATAATGAGTTTTCTTCTGGATTAGGAGTCTCTCTAACTATTATTTAGCGGAGAACCCCTATTGCATCTTCTATAATGCATGTTGAACACTCTATCACATCCCCTTTACTGTCTTCTCAAGGATCTAATCTAAGAACTAAACATTCTAGTACTGTTAGTTGGATCACATCCCCTTAATTTATTTATATTAATTCAATCCATATTATTTTTATAAAGGTTAAAAATGTCAGATGTTAACTCTGAAGCACCCGTTAACTCTCAAGTACCATTTGAGAGTGACGCGTCACAACATTCATCGCCAACTACAAACGCACCTACGAACTCACTGTCTCCCCTCTCTAATCAACATGTTATTGATTTAGAAGAAGAGTCTAATATTACTTGTGGAGGAACTAAAAGAAAACCTAGTGTTGTGTGGGAACATTTTAAAAAACAACAAGTCAATGGAGTGTGGAAGGAAATATGTAATTATTGTAATAAGCAGCTTGGAGGTGATTCAAAAAATGGAACTAGGCATTTGCATGATCACCATAAGAGTTGTACTAGGAAAAAAGTGATGGACATGAGGCAAAAAGTGTTAACTAACAACTTTAGTAGATATATATATATATAGAGAGAGAGAGAGAGGTGGTTTGATGATCACTTGTTCTTAGAGGTAGAATTGGAGGAACAGGAAGATGGGCCTTTGAAGATTCCAGAGAAGATTTGTGGAGTAATAACTCTTAATCCAGAAGATCAAAATTCATGGCAAGACTCCAACTTTCAACACCATTTAACCTTCAACACCATTTGACTAGCTCTATCTGTAATCTACTTATCAGAATAATCAATCAATTAGTAATATTTGCATATGGTCTCTACAATAGTTCAGTTTTTTTGTTTGTTTATTTATTTATTTATTTTTTGAGACATTGCTTATGATTAAATTTGAACCAGAATTGCCATCAAGCAGAGGAGAGGACCTGCAATCAAAGTGCTTGCTTGAACTATACGGACTGGAGGTATTTTGATTCTATTGCTTCCTTGCATGTGGAGCTTATATTGATCAGACACAGTTTGACAGTGATTATTTGAACTAATGGAAGATATAATTTGGTTACATTTTGTTAAAATGATTATTGCCACAAATCATGTTTTGCTGCATTAGTGATAATCAATGTTCACAGACAGAACCTTTTGCTTTCCCTTTTGTAACTGATGACAAGGATCTGGCCTTTTCATTTTAAAAATTACTTCATCAAGAATATTTAAAAATATGCATGTGAAAGAAAAATGTATCCTAAATAATGAGTTTTCTTCTCGATTAGGAGTCTCTCTAACTATTATTTAGCGGAGAACCCATATTGCATCTTCTATAATGCATGTTGAACACTTCACATCCCCTTTACTGTCTTCTCAAGGATCTAATCTAAGAACTAAACATTCTAGTACTGTTAGTTGGATCACATCCCCTTAATTTATTTATAATAATTCAATCCATATTATTTTTATAAAGGTTAAAAATGTCAGATGTTAACTCTGAAGCACCCGTTAACTCTCAAGTACCATTTGAGAGTGACGCGTCACAACATTCATCGCCAATTACGAACGCACCTACGAACTCACCGTCTCCCCTCTCTAATCAACATGTTATTGATTTAGAAGAGTCTAATACTACTTGTGGAGGAACTAAAAAAAAACCAAGTGTTGTGTGAGAACATTTTAAAAAACAACAAGTCAATGGAGTGTGGAAGGAAATATGTAATTATTGTAATAAGCAGCTTGGAGGTGATTCAAAAAATGGAACTAGGCATTTGCATGATCACCATAAGAGTTGTACTAGGAAAAAAGTGATGGACATGAGGCAAAAAGTGTTAACTAACAACTTTAGTAGAGAGATTCCAAAAATGAATTCTTATATCTTTGATCAAGATTTTGCTACGAAAGAGTTGTCACATGCCATAATCTTGCATGAATATCCCCTCTCTATCGTAGACCATGTTGGTTTTAAACGATATTCAGCAGCACTTCAACCATTGTTTAAAGTGCCTTCTCGAAATACGATAAAGAGTGATATTTTAAAGATTTATGATCATGAGAGGGTGAAGACATTGAGTTTGGTAGAGCATAATAAAAGTAGGGTGACAATCACAACTGATATGTGGACTACTAGCAATCAAAAGAAAGGATTCATGGCTGTCACCGCACACTTTATTGATGATTCATGGATATTGCAAAGTCGCATTTTGAGGTATATTTTTATAAATTTGCAAATCATTTAAGTTTATTTATGTTCCATGTCCACACACAAAAGAAGTTCAACTTGCATGTTATTAATACTTGTTTATGAATATCATATTTTAGGTTTATTTATGTTCCATGTACACACACAAAAGAAGTTCTTTGTGATACTTTGCTTGAGTGTATGATGGATTGGAATATTGATGGAAAAATCTCGACTGTTACTGTTGATAATTGCTCCACAAATGATGCCATGATTACCATGTTGATGGATAAGTTAAGTAATTCATCGCTTTTGTTGGGTGGTACTTTATTTCATATGCGTTGCTGTGCGCATATTTTGAATTTGATAGTGAAAGATGGATTGGATGTCATACGAGTTGGTGCGGAGAAAATTCGAGAGAGTGTAACTTATTGGACAGCAACACCAAAAAGAGTAGAAAAATTTGAAGAAACAGTCAACCAATTGCGTATTCCACATACTAAGAAATTAGGACTTGATTGTGCAACAAGGTGGAATTCAACCTACTTGATGCTTCAGACAGCCTTATTGTATAAGGATGTCTTTTCTAGGTTGAAAATTAGAGAGCCCCAATATAAGACTGTGCCAACTGAGCAAGAATGGGAGTTTGCTAGAGAGATTAGTGAGAGGTTTAAGATTTTTTTTTCTATCACTGAGTTGTTTTCTGGTACAAAGTATCCCACAGCCAATGTTTGTTTCCCAGCTTTATGTGAGATTAGGATGACACCGTCTCAATGGCTCTCTTGTGAAATTGAAGTGATCAGAACAATGGCATCAAAAATGGTGGAAAAATTTGATAAATATTGGTTAGTCATACATGGTGTTATTGGGGTTGCAGTTGTACTTGATCCTAGGTATAAGATGAGTGTATTAGAGTTTTATTTTGAAAAACTTTATGGAGATAAAGCTGAAGATGAAATTGATAGAATTCGTCATATTTGTTATGATTTGTTACAAGAGTATCAGCACCGAGTTGGTATGGAGACCGATGTTGGTGGTGACTCTTCTGCTCATCTAGAAATTGTTACAGAGACCCTTTCAGAATTTGATTTGTTTATTAGTAGAAAGAGAAGTAAAAAAATGAAGAATGTAAGATCAGAGTTGGACCATTATCTAGAAGATGATGTTTTGCCAAGAACTTCAGGTTTTGATGTTTTGAATTGGTGGAAAGCTAGTGGACCAAAGTATCCGACCTTAAAGGCAATAACTAGGAACATTTTAACTATTCCTGTATCCACTGTTGCTTCTAAGTCAGCATTTAGTACTAGCGGAAGGTTGGTGAATCCACATCGTAGTAGACTTCATCCAAACATATTAGAAGTATTAATGTGTGCACAAAGTTGGTTGTAGGGTGAAAAGATGAAAGGTATTATTTTATCCAATTTACATATTATTATTTCACTTTTTATAATTTATATTACCATGAAATAATTTCACTATTGAATTTATATTCTTTACTTTTTAGGAAATTCAACATTGGAATCGGTGGACTATGCAACTATATATGATGATGATGATGAGATCGAGTCAGATCAGTCATGTGCCACTTTTTTGTTAGTTGTCATCTTTTTTTGTTTTAATTGTTAACATTTTTACATTTTATTATTAGTATTAATTATTTGGCTTTTTCCTTTTGTTATTTAACAGGAATTCAAGTTGAAGGAGATAATGGAAGTTGTGTGGTTTGTATTGGTTTGAAGAAACAATGGATTTGCTTTTTTATGTTGTAATGGATATTTTTTTTTTTTTTTTAATTTCAATTTTTGGGTAACCTATCCCTTGCGGGTTGTGCTTTGGATTAATTATTCTCTTTGTTACTTGTTGAATTTTCTTGTGTGTGCTGCTGGACAGATGTTTTGTTTGTGTTATTTTGTTGCTACATGATGTTTTGTGTGTGGGTTGTGTATGTATGGGCTGTTGAATTAATGTTTATTGATGTTTATTAATGTTTTGCTACAAGATGTTTATTAATGTTTATTGATATTTATTGATTTAAATGGATGTTGCTACAGGATGTTTATTGATGCTTTGCTACACGATGTTTATTGATGTTTATTGATTTAAATGGATGTTGCTATAGGATTCAAATTTGTATGTTGCTTCAGGATGTTTTGTTTATTAATGTTTATTGATGTTTATTGATTTAAATGGATGTTGCTATAGGATTCAAATTTGTATGTTGCTTCAGGATGTTTTGTTTATTAATGTTTATTGATGTTTATTGATTTAAATGGATGTTGCTATAGGATTCAAATTTGTATGTTGCTTCAGGATGTTTTGTTTATTAATGTTTATTGATGTTTATTGATTTAAATGGATGTTGCTATAGGATTCAAATTTGTATGTTGCTTCAGGATGTTTTGTTTATTAATGTTTATTGATGTTTATTGATTTAAATGGATGTTGCTACAGGATTCAAATTTGTATGTTGTTTCAAGATCTTTCTATCTTTCTTTCTTTTCTTTTTTTTATTTGTTGTGGCTGAGTTCTAATTAATTAAAAAAATGAAGCTATTAGGGTTGATATTCCAACTGATAAATTCCAAAATTTATACATCCAGTAGTGAAGGGTGATTGAGAATGTTTATTGATGTTTATAGATTTTTACATAAAAATAAAAATAAAATAAAAACCGGGGATTTTCCGAGGTCGGGGATCGGGGATCCCCGATCGGGGGCGGGGATGGGGCCGGGCTATGGGTCCCGTCGGGGATCGGGGACGGGTAGTCCCCGGCCCAGCCTCGCCCCGTTGCCATTCCTAGTACTAGAATCTTTAGGAAATGAACAACAAACTCAAAATAGTGTTTTAACTGATAGGATCATGCAAAGAGATCATAAGTTGAGGAAAAGAGATTATGGATTGAAGAACTTCAAAGAGAAGTGTTAATTTCTAACAGCAAAATAACTAATGTTCATGTAAAAAACTAAACATTCCTCTTGCTAGCGAAGACGTATCAGGGTGACAGATATTAACTAATGGCACAAACCAACCCTGTGCTTGGATCTTGCGTTTGTAGAAGGAAAGTGAAACTGAAAAGATAGGTAAAGAAAATGAAGAGGAAGAAGTCCTTTTTTCCCCCTTTTGTTTAGTTGGCTTAGAAAAATGAGAAGAAAATGAATTGGTAAGTATGTACGCCCAATTCAGTTCCCATTAGATGAGGGGTTTCGGAGAGGTAGATTGGGTACATATCTATAATTTGCACTAAGTGGCTGCTTTCATGTTCGAAACCACATAGCTGAGTTTTAATGAAACACATACAAATAAAAATTATACAGTAATTTTTTTCTTCAAAATCTTGTCAACCTTCACAAAAATATATTCTTATAGGCTCCAGGTTGGATTAATACAGCATACAACATTATTTTCCAGTGTGCAGTCAAAGCTGATTGTGCACAAAGAGCCTAATCCACAGACGAATGACATGCTTTTCCAGTATTTCTAGATTTCCAGATGAATATTTCAATAACAAATGAGAACCTACGGGAAAAAGCTCTAAGTAACATATTAAGTGATCAATTACTGGTAAGCTTGATTTTAGACATCCATTAATAATTATTGAAGACCCATTTTCCAGTAAAAAGAAAGAATTCCTAACTCAATACTACAGATGTAATTGGAAAAACATAATAATAACACACATTGCGCACACTTATATACATATATATTTAATTTGAAAAATCAATAATAGCATACATTTAACACACTCAGCATACAGTTAACGCACTCAGTAATAGCATACACTCGGTAGTATTTTAAAACGGTACACATAAAGGATGGCAGGACGAAAAATGAAGCAAGCATTAGATATGTACTATTTTAAAAGAGTACCAATCCACAATAATGTACTGAAGTATCCAGCAATATATTGAACAACAAACAGCCAAACAAGAACATGCACAACCAACCTTTAGTACACACTACACACTTAAATATATACATATATATGGACACAAAATATATTTATTCAACACTTAGCAAAAGAACATTCAGAAAGTAAAATGACTTAAACGGGAACTGAGAAAGCACTTACAAGTGCTGCTACCCCCATATTTACGCCTTTTTTAGACATTGTTTGTTGTAAGCATTCAGAAACATCTCTTCCAACCTGACATGAAAAAAAATTTTGTACCATATAAATCTCCATTTCCAGTAGTCTCTTGAATAATCACTGATTCCAGATTATTTTCTATTTCTTTTTTAGTAGAAAGGCATTTTCTCTAATTACTAAGACTATAATTTGAATCAAGTTAAGCAAACATGAGGTTGTATTGTACTCAGCACAGCCACAACTCAATCAAACCAATTGAGCTCAAATGGTTTAAGTGATGCCCCAGTATCAATGTCACTGAAGGGGAGATCTATATTTTACTTTGCCATCAACAAGACTAAACTATATTGCAGCTCATCACAGCCACAACCCAGTCAAACCAATTGAGCTCAAATGGTTTAAGTGATGCCCCAGGACCAATGTCACTGAAGGCAATATCCAAATTCCAACTTTGCCATCAACAAGAAAGGAATGTTTCCTAACTATATTGCAGCTCATCACATAGTTCAAAATGATTTGAAGCATCCACAGGTACATCTTATTAGATCACTATCCAACTAACCATGTCTTCAATGGTAAAACCTTTCGTCCATTTGATTAGAATGCCTGACGAGACAGACAATTGCTTCACAGGGAACGAGAATGTAAATCCAAGTTCCCTTCTTTTGACTGCTGATAGTTCATGAACTCCTTCTTTCTTTTCTATAAACTCTTTTAGTGATGAAGCAATCAAATCAAAGAGTTCCTGCCAGCAAAAGAACATTCCAGTTTCAATAATATCATAAGATAAGAAAATGCAAAATTGAGCTCAGAAGTAGTAGAACGTATGCGGTACAAACTCGGCCACCTCGCCTGTGCTGGCCTTTAGATTTAGAGGAATCGGTTTCCTTTCAACATCAGGATCAGGAATGGCAGACCTATCACCCACAAGCTGAAGACGCAAGACCCTGAAATTAGTACCTCCAAGATCTAGCGCGTAATAGGTTCCCTTCTCACTCCTGGAGGAATTTCAGGCATAATCAACTATAAGTACACCAAGGAAAGAGGGTGCCAAAAGAAAAAAGAAAAAGAAGTTGACAAGTGGCTATAAAAAATATCCCAAGTCATATCGTATTTTTTGATAGCCAGTGTTAGAATTGAAGACAGCAATGTAAGTTAACAATGATGAAACAGTCTCTCAATCATACAAACTGGATGATAAACCTCTGGAATCATTTAGTTGATTACCTCCCTCTGCAGTTATTTCAACAATGAAGTCCACAATGATAGGTAGACCATAGTGAAAATTGCAGAGAATACCAAAATCTCCACTATTATTTCAAATATTAGGTAATCTAATGATGTTATATGCTTTGTATATACCTGAAAATTATACAATAATAAATAGACCAATATTCACATCTACTAGGATATTTATGCATAAAATCCAATCATGTATGGATATCCAACGATTCTCCCATCAAAACAAAACCAAATTAAAATTTGGAGGATGACAGTGGAATGGAATATTTTTCCAGATACAATTCGAGAATCAGTTGGTAATTATTTAAATAAAAACCAATCAAAGACCACCAGCTGATCCCAATTGTGGAGCCCAAGGCCCAGAATTCCCAAATATACAATACTCAAATGAGAATATAAGTATTTCCCATGATGCCTAAAGTTTCGAATAAAAAAATTCTCCAATAAAGCAGCTAAAAGATTGCTCCATCACAGTGCAGAATGACAAAACAAAAACAGGTTACAATATTAACTGTATGAAACGGCTTTTAAAAATCCTAAAATAAAAAAACAAAAAAAAAACAAATAGTATGTGGTCCATTTAAATGTGTCGGCATGAAAAAACCTTTTTATGGGTATATCATCAAAAAAGAAGAAACCACAATTATAATAACGATTTTGCCACAAACAGTAGTAGCAGCAACAACCAAACAAAAAACCCAAAACAATTATAGAGTACAAGCTATCAAACTGGGACAACAAAGATAGATGAGAATATCAAATTTGAAACAAAAAATCAATCACCAACCAAAAACAAGAATCAGACTCAAATAGGCAAAAGCATTCAAATTCCTAAAATATACAAAGAATGTGATAAAGAAAGAGGAACCCCCCACAAAATACTATCAAATTTTAAAGTTCTATATAGCAATCAAAAATCAGATAACATAACACCTCAAAACAAGATTCAAATCACAAAATTTCAAATTGAAACAACCCCAAAAACAAACACCCATTAAAAACTCCTCTCAATATTATTCAATCAAATGAAAACCCAAGATATATATATTGATATGGAATGTTGAGTATGTACATACCCATTGGGAAGTTTATCGACGTAGGTGAGAAGCATCTTGAGCTTACTACCACCTTCAGAGGCTAAACCCGCGTGCATCTCAACCGCCATAGCATCAACTACCTGTCTCAGACGCAAAACCGACGTAGAGCACGCTTCCTCGAACTCCTCCAAAACCGCCACCGCTCTCCTCCACCTCCGCTGCCTCCTCACCCTCCTCCCCACCATCACCGCCGCGATTGCGCACGTCGCCACTGCGCACCCCACCGCCAACCCCAACCCTACCTTCCCCATCTCTCGCCACCACCGCTAAAACTCCTCCTCCACAATCAACCCACTCAAGCCATCGCAACGATACCGTTTCGAAATTCCAAAACCGTCGTCTATCGCCGGAGGTTCACCGGAGACCCCTCTCGCCGACGACCCGTTCGAAGAAAAGTTCGAGAGAGAGAGAGAGAGAGTGTGTGCGTGTGTTGTCTGCGGTCTTCGCACTATGTAGTGTTGGAAAGCGAACTGTAGGATATTTATATTGTGGTTAAAAGACTGGTTTGCCCTTGCTCTTATTTAAAAATTCCATTATTTATTTATTTATTTTTATTTTCCATTTTAACATAGAGTTAATGAAAATCGGTTTTACCCAAAAATATATTTGAAATTGACAATTTTGATTTGGTTGTAGATTTGAGGGCCCACATGGGCTGTTTGGTAGGGTTGGCAGATAAAAATTGACACTGAGATGGTGAAATTACCATTTTGCCCATTGGCTTTTGAGAAAATGGTTCGGTAAACCCTTGTTTGAAAGGTATGGTTAGTTGTTGACTCGGTGATTGGGACCTTTCCAACAAAGAAAGGAAAATGACATGCTCATGCTCTCTATCAAATGAATTGTTTATGACGACCCATAAAAGAATTATGTTATATTATTGTGTGATGTGACATTTAATCTCTCATGTGCATTAATTCCATATGAGTTGATGTGTATAAAACAAATTTGGTCTTTGAATTTATTTATTTATTTATTGTTTGAATAGGTGTTTGTCCTATTTTTTGTTTATTTTTAATTTAAAGAGATAACATAACGGAGAAAAAAAGTTAAATAGGCATAGAATGCGGTAAGGTGTTTGAGGTTCGATTGTAATTAGGGAATTTTTAATTCGTCATTCATTTGTTAGATGGGTGAATTAAAAAAAAGTAATTCGCATCTATCTATCAAATTAACGGATGTGGATTGAGCGGACATGCATAAAATGCAGTAGAGTGTTCATGGTTCGATTGTAATTAGGGAACTTTTAATCTGTCATTCATCCGTCGAATTGACGGATTGAAAAAAATTAATTCACATCCGTCTACCAAATTGACCAATGTGGACTGAGCGAATTGACGCATAAATGTGAATCGGTTTAGCGGTTTAAACTTTTACAAATTTTGAACATAATACAACAATTTGTCAATTTTTTTTGGATAATAATTCAACTCAACATAACTAAAAGATTATCAAGTAATTAATCAATTACCAATAACAAATACATACAAAAGAAATTATGTATTATCAAAACTATTTCATTACTTTTTTTTTATTCAAAAACTATTTAATTTGATTTTTAAAAAAAATAAAAAAAATTAAGCTTTGTATTTTCCACACAAAATACCAAATATCAACCATTGCCATTTGATAAAAGGATTTTCAAATTGAAAATACAAACAAAATATCTAAACAAATTGAAAACACAAAATCTTACAAATTATTAGGAGTGCTCGCAGTTTAGTGGTTCGGTTGCGGCCAAAGGAATATTAAATCCGCCATCCATCCAAAATTAGGCAAATTGAAAAAAATCAATCCGTAACCTTCCGTTGATCATCACACATCCATCTAAAATGCGGCGGATAGGTTCGATTCAATTGGTTTAGTCAGATTGGAATATCCGCTACTCACCCCTAAAATGCAGTAGTTAAAATACATATAAATTTATTTAATCTGATTGAATATATAATTTTTGGTGAAAAAATAATTTATGCAACTGGTCCCACTTGATTAGAGCACCATACTTAATTTGGTTAGGTTTCTTTTTTTGAAAAAAATTATTAAAATATTGCATTATAATAAAATATAATAAACACAATTACAATAACAAAGTATGATTTTTTAAAAAATATTTAGTGAAAGGAATAAAACCTTAAGTAATTACAATGAGAGTAAAACCAAATAAAATTAACTAATTTATTCAAATTTATCTTGTATTTAACTTGTTAAAAGTGTTAAAGGATTTCATATTTAACTAAGTCAAATTTCAGTACTTTTAATATTTATTAATTTTTTAAGTGGTAAGATTGAATAAAATAATAATAAAATAAATAAATTATTCGATCTCATTGAAACTTATTTGAAATCAACTCAAAAAATAAATAGAAAGACTTAAAAAAAATTTAAATCTTGGTAAAATTTTAAATTAAATTTGAATAACTAACATGATCATACTAGATGATGAATATTCAATTATTGAAAAAAATAAATAAACTTGTTTTAATGAATAGATAAATGGGTGACACACCAATAAATTTAAAAATGTGATCATGTGAACTATTTAATCCTTTATTTTTTTTATTATGAATCTAAAAGTTCTATTAAAGTATAAATTATATAAAAAGGTAGTTACTTACCCATTGGGGCTCAATTTTTTAAGGATAAAATTAGATTTCTCCAAATGTGAAATTATGGGTAATCCACATTATAGAGGTTTTGGATTTTTTTCTCCTGGAACAAATTTCACATTATAAACAAGAACGTAACACTTCAATAATGTAACATTCTAATGTAATACACTAAAAAAAATAGCTTAGTGTATTTTTCTCAAGCGTAACAACGTAACACTAAAAAAAAAATCTTCGTATATTTTTTCCAGACATAACACTCTAATGTAACACAAAAAAATTTCTTAATATACTTTTCATAAATTTAACACTCTAATCAATATATAATTTCAAAGATAACACTCCAATGTAACACACAAAAAACATTAAAAAAATTAGTGTACTTTTTCTAAACGTAACACTCACAGTTTGAAATTATACATTTGTCCAAAACTTACTAAGAAATTTTTTTACTCCTTTTGGAATGGTTTGAAAAATCCTACATCATTTTGAAATAAGTTTGAAAAATTCTATATCATTTTGAAATGGTTTGAAGAATCCTATATCATTTTTTGGGAGTATTACATTTTTTAAAATTATATTAAGGAGTTTTTTTTTTGTGTGTATTATAATGGAGTGTTGTACTAATAATTTGTTTTTGAGTGTTATATTGGAGTGTTATAACGTTTGAGAAAAATACATTAAGAAGTTTTTTTTTTTTTTTTTTTTGAATGTTGCACTAAAGAATTCTTTTTAGAGTGTTATATTAAAGTGTTAAATTTGGGAGAAGTTTTTTTGGAGTGTTACATTAGAGTATTACAATTTGTAATTATACATTTGTCTAGAGTTTATTAAGTAGTTTTTGTACTTATTTTGAAATATTTGAAGAATCTCATATTTAAAATTATTTTTTTATTCCTTTTGAAATTTTTAAAGAATTTCACATTTCAAGTCTTTCCAATTAAAAAGATTCCCATATAAAAATTCTTTACAAATTTGATTCCTATATGTTGTGCACCTTACTTTTCTAGCAACAAAGGGGGAAAAAAAAATAATAATAATATAAATAAGGATATAACTGTAAATATAATTTTCAAATAATATATCAAATCTACATTTTTAAATTGGATGGGACTAATTAGTTTATAAAAAAATTATTGAGATTAAATGGATTACCATTTCTCAATATGAGATTTATAAGTAAATTTTCCTACATAAATACTATTAACAGAAAAAATGGAAACAACCAAACAAAAACATAAACAAAACAAACAATGCTAAAACAAACAGTAAAAGTCTAAACTCTCGAATGCAAAGATACAAAACCTTTAAAAGGAAATGCCAAAATAAATCAAATTACAAAACAATTTCTAGATGAGTAGCTCCATGACCAAAAGAAGCCCAAACATGCAAACACCAAATACATGTCAATCTTAAGCTTCACAATGGAAGATGAAACGAATTGTGTATATTTGGCTTGCCATGTTCTTATGTAAATGTACCCTACATTATGTTGTTTCTTCTTAAATTAAGTAATTGTTTAATGAATAATGTTTGGGACCCCTTTTGGGGTCACCCCCTCACCCCCCCTTTGCCACATGGCGGGTGGTGATTGGAGGAGCAGGAAAAAAAAGAAAAAGAAAAAGAAAATGTAACCAATGAGAGAGAGAGAGGGGGTCAAAGGGGGGGCGGAAAAGGGGGGATGAATCATTACCTAAAAATTTAATTGTTTCATTACCTATTTGAAAAAAAAAATAATAATGATAATAATTAATTAATTAAAGAATAAAACAAGATCCTATTTCCATGTTAACTCTCCATGGTGATATTCATTTCAATCATAATTATTTTAATTGTGTTTTTCTTATTAGTTCAAATGTTATTTCATTTTCAATCATAGAAATGTTTGTTTTTTTTTTTTTTGGATTTCTTTTGTCAACAAGTGCTATTTTTGTGAAAGTTTGTACTCTCATAATAGATAGCATGTGTGTAAATACAACACATTTTAACTAATCAAACTGAATCTTTACCTGAGAAATCGAGTCAAACAGAAATAACAAAATATTTTGTAGAAAAACAATAATTTTTATTTTCTTATTTGCTTTGAATTTCTAGGAGTAAACACATAATCCCCTTCTCATTAGTAAATAATTTGTTAATCATATTAAGAAAATGATAGTGATATCTCTTTTTTATTGAAATGTAGACTTTACTCTTAATTATCCTTGTATTTACACATAATCTGCATTATTTATATTTGCTTTAGTCATATCAAAGAGAAAATTATTATAATTATTTTTTTTATGTATTTTTCAAATCTCAAATGTGATGAGTGTAATTTATCCTTCTAAAAATCTCAATAATAAATACATTAAGGCCTCATTTGGAAACAAACTTTTTTAGTAATTTTTTGACTTTTTTGCTAAAATGAGATATAAAAAAAAATATATGTTTAGAATGACTTTTTGACTTTTTACGAAAAGATGTGTAAAAAATAGAGAGAAAAAAGAATATTTGACTTTTTGGTATGAATTTTTGATTTTTTAATTTTTTAATAACTTTTTGACTTTTTAACTAAAAAGAACACTTGCCAAACGAGACCTAAATCTTCTTTTAGTTAACACAACCATAAAAATATCAGTTACAAACTTTTAAAAAAAAATTGGGGACCATAGATATTTTTTCTTTGTTTGTTTTGAACATAGATATTTTTTTTTGATCCACCCTTTTCACAATAGTAATGGCCAAGGGCAATCTAGTAAGATTAAAAAACCAGTGATCAAGGGTCCCCCACCACTGCAAAGTGAGAACAAAACAAATTGATTACTTTGATGAATTCCATATAAGAAATGAGTATGGGGACCTATGAGGCA